TCTCTAGGGCCAAATGGTATTGTACTAATTATACTTCAAGAGACAAGATCTGTTAGTCATAGGCCATTAACAATTCTTGCAGCAGTCATTCAAGACAGGGATAATACTTCATGTGGAACAATCTGCGATATCTGTTACATTTAAGGAAACAAACAATAATTCAGAATCATGAATTTACACAAAAGATAATAAATAAAAAAAGGTAAAGTAGGTGATCATCTGTATGCCAATAGGATTCTATGGGATAATTAACGTGTTTAGATAGAAAGACTTCTAGCTAAGAAGGTAGGTCTTTCCTAATTAACATTTTACAAATCTTTGAACAGGCGAGAGTAGGAATGGATAAAAAACAGTGCATAGTACAGAATAAGGTATATTTTGATTTTTGGAAGGCTTTAGATGAATTACCCTAAAGTGATTAATTCTTAACAAAGTGGGTATTCAATGTACTACCATGTACTTGAATTAAGAAATGAATAATGGAAAACAGAGTACAGATAAAGGATGAAGGCTCAAATTGGGAAACGGGGGTGATACATTTAATGGAGTGCTACAGGGTTCAGTAATAGTGGCATAGATATTCCTGCTTTTTAAGCTATGTTGTGTTGTCTGGTACAGTATCACCTCATTAGAATATTGAGTACAATTTTGGTCACCATGTTACAAAGGATATTGCTACTCTGGAGTCGCTCCAGACCAGATACTTTCCCAGATGTAAATGAATGTCCTACAATGATAGGCTGAAATAACTGAATCCTTTTAGTTCATTTTTACTTAGAACTTAATCCTTCTGGTCTTGAAGTGAGAAGGTCACAGGAGGACCTGATTTACATATTCAACATCCTCAATGACATTGACAAAGTCATCTTAAAGAAGTTTTTCAGAAACTAACATTTTATCCCTTTTCCAGGTGTTCTTCATTTTGCATTCCTCTCATTGGTCCCTTGCAGCAAATTCTTGTCACTTTCCCCCTAAATGTTTCTGCTGCTTTTGTCCTTTTCCACAGACCAGTTGTTTCATCAGCCAAGTAAGTAGCCCAAGTGTGCGTTTCAAATTCAAAAACACCTCGTCTCTGATCCTGAAATATAAATTTAAGAGTTGAGACAAATTATCTAAAGAGCGAAGGAATGGAACAAAACAGTTTCTATATAGTGTCTGCTGTCAGTTTTATAAACCTCTATACCTCTATCTTTCTATTTCTATTAAGTAAACAGAAGAGGATAAACGTCTTACACCGCAGTATTGGCTCTGTACACAAACCCAGATGCCTTTTAGAAGAAGGGAAAACAGATGTAGCAAAGCCTGTGATGAACTATATTGTATTCTTTGAAAGGTACTGTATTTGATACAATAAAGAGGACATCAATATACAGTGTATATTGGAAGTGAGATCTATATAAAAAACATAGCGTTACAAATGTTACATCATCTTTCCCAGATAAAGCTTCTAAGGCCTTAACACATTTATTTGAAAAAAAAGTGGCAAGCAGCTTGTATCTGACGATCAATAACCCTTAGCTCAGAGTAATCTATAAAGAGGGATTAAGCAAGAGTTGTGCTGTTGGGTGACGTAAAATGATTTATAAATGCAAGGATATTCAGTGCTTTGCTAATATACCCAATCCTCTGAAAGGCTTAAACACGGACGTACTTGTCGCATGTGACATAAAAAAAGATGTCTTCTAATGCTACAAGTGATACCATATGTTTCTGATTTAAGAAGCATTAAAGAGATGAGAAGTCACCAGATTTTGTGGTTTAACAGAAATACAAAAATCCCTCTCTAATGTTTTCTGGTCCTGCTGTACATGTATAATATTGGAGGCCCATAAAAGTAAATAAAATGAAATTATATTTATGAACTGTACGTCTTTACAGGTCAACCATTTTGCATTGTGTTCTGTTAAATCTACAGTATCCTGTTTCAATAATGATCAACATATATTACCTTTTTATTGTGTTTATCATTACTAAAAATAAACGTTTTTGTTAAACATTTTTACCTCTTGTTTTTCAGCCTTATTGTTAACTTCATATTGGTGCTTGTATATAAAAGTATTAAATGCAGCTATATTGTGTATCAAGGGACTATAGTTAAAGGCAGTGTCTAATTTTTGTGTAGATTTTTAAAGGTAAAATTATTTAATCCCATGTAATCAATAACCTGAATCACTTTTTAATAAGACCAATAAAGCATGCTACACATGGTACTATATTAATATGTGATGGTATATGGTCACATCCTTTCAAGATTACACATCTTATACCCAGTTCTCTAAATACAATATTCATTGCAACAGCATGAATCAGAACTGGGAAATGATTTAGCGGTCTACAGTACAGCACGTTCTTTTTTTATTCTTATAATTCTTGTCAAAGTCCAATATCCTTTCTTAATTAAAAATGATAAAAGTAGAGCTCTATCAACAATGTGGAAATCAAATTTGCTTTCAAATTCCTTTTAAATAAGAATGGTGTTTTCTGGTTGGAGAAGAGGAGAGTGCAGTAATATCACTTCATCTGTGTCACCTTTTGATGAGGGGATTGAAGATTAGTATATTTTTGGATTTTATATTATACAGTTCAAGTTTGTGGCAAACAAAATTGTGCATGTTCTGTTGAGGTGCAGATTTATTTTTTTGATTTTCTACTGATCGCTTTCAGTTTATACAAAATTTGATCAGCAATGTTCCTGAAACATCAAAAGACAACCACCAAAATGGGAAAGCAGCACTTTTAGGCATCATGATGTAAGGGAAGTTATGCTTTATTCCAATGCAGACATAAGTTATATAACATTCTTAGTTCTGAACCACTGGTTTATTTGCAGCGAATCCAGCCAATATGAGGGCTTCTAAAGCAGATTGAAAGTCCTTTCACAGATTACTCTGAAGAATTGTCAATGTACTGTTTGTTCTGAACCCGGTATTTCTAGCTAGCTTTAGGCACTTGTGTGTCCCATGTTACAGATGTATAAGTCATCAGCATCAGAGTGCATCAGCTCAGCCCAAGATCATTGGTTTGGGGATCTCGGTGGTAATTTCTCTCTGCTTTTGAGTGTTATGCCAAGTGAGAGGTTTCTTCTCTAAGGATCTAAAGTATATTAATCTTGCCATTTTCTTACTGAAAACTTAATCCATTAGGCAATTTGCAGCTTGCTTAAAAGTCTATACCATGCTGATTATGTTCATTCCATTATTCTTTGAAGCAATGTACTGTAGGCATCAGACAACTTCCACTGCACTCATGATATTAAAGTTGTTTGTATGTAATGAGTATGCTCCAGAAGAAAATAAATTGACATAGCTGCTATAAATCCACAAAAAAGTGGTTGAAACAAATAAAAAAATGCAAGTTATTGATACTGTGGAATAGTTACAATTATTCCAAAACTACCAATGTTTGCAAAGCATTTTTTTTTGTATGAGAGCACTGAGAATAATAGAGAGAGGTGGTAATGATTCAGAAGTTATTCAACAGCTATTCTTCAACACGGAACACTGCAACTCAGCCATTTGTCTAAAACTGAGAATTTATTGGTACTCTAAGTTGTTATCCTCACTGCCTCCTTGATATAGCCAATTGTGTGTGTGTGTGTGTGTGAACATGTCACTCACTGAGTTTTACCCTCTTTTGTAAAATATGAAACTATATATTTTACACACATTTGTTTACGAACAAATTTCATTGACAAAACATTAACACTTTTTTACAATACTATAAATGTTACTTGAAACTAAAGGTCTAAATAAAATCTGAACACACTGTAAAACCAGTGACGATGGACTGTTTAGGTCCCATATACTGTATGTCCCTCTCTAAGGAGTAACATTAATTGTAACATTAAAGAGAAACAAACGTCAGCTATTTTGGTATTATCTATCCAGATGGTCCCTAAACACCATATTTGAAAAATGGTGAGCATTTATGATTTTCTTCACATTTAAGAATGTGTAAGAAAGCATTTTCTATATGGAGCCACTAATATGCTTCATAATAATTTAATACAAGTACCAAAATGTGCATGACCTTTATCCTAAAAGTCCAATCATCTTCTTGGATAAGTAGGTTTAAAACATGGGAAGGAAATAAACAAATTGTTTATGATTATGAAAGTACAAAATACAACAAACTTAATCTGTCTCCAATCTTTAATTTATTCCAAAATTATCCATTTGATCATTTCTGTAATTTCCAATATCCCATCTGTACACTGGGCTTGTGTGATTCTATGTTAATATCAAGAAGCATAGAGCCTGATTTTCATCATTTTAGAGCTCAATTAGACAAGTTGTGATGTGTACAGTACAAGCTCAAAGATATTTCTGCTCAGATAAGCATGGAACCTAGTTCGAAAATACAGATTTAATGGATAAAAGTTTTAAATTGAATTATTACTTTTTTGAGATAAGGAAATGAGGTTTCAAAACAACATACTGTAAATGAAAAGTGTGACTTTTCCAAGCACACCATAAAACGTCATTTAACAATAAGAGTTCCGTTTTTACTGTTTTGCACAAGAGTTGAACTCCCAACACATGTTTCAAATTTACAGTACATGTATTCACAAACACAAAGAAAGAAACAGGGTGAAAAAATCAAAGGTGTGAAAGTGTGTATAATTGTAAGGCTTTTGAGAAAGCCAGTGCCGATTCAAAAGATCCTCGTTCATGGCTGACGCACTTTACTTTTCGCAAGACACTTCCAGTCTGTGATATTTGGAAACATCCCAATTTGATTCCAAAGCGGAAATCAGGAAGATTTCAGGGTCGATTCATCACAATTCTGCTGCACAGTATTATTGCAGCTATCCAGGTCGGTCTAAAGTGGAAAGAAAAAGCTACAGTACAGTACGTGCATAAACATACAGTAGGCATTATTAACACAAGTTCACTAGGGACAACACATCCAAGAATTTGAATGATTTGTGAATGCTTGGAATACTTGGTGAGAATGTTTGGCTTAATGTGCATGGTTAATGGGTATCCTTCTGGCCATAGGATGATGAGAGGGCTCAAACCCCATTCAGACTGAGTGAACCAAGGGGTAGCTGCAAGGTGGAGATGAGGCAGAGGACGGATGCTGTAGACGAATGCGAAGGAGGCTCCTGAGATCAGTTTACAGTATGTAGCTGGTTTCGTGATGATGGTGATTACGTACAGGTGTGTGAGATTGACTTGTCATTGCTATCCCTTCCAAACTTCAGTTCATAACTTCTTGAAATCTTAAATCTTGAATCCACTTCATAAAAAGTTTGATGAACAGAAAATATGAAGGTCCTCAGTTTAGGACTTGGTGATATGAAATGTACATTGCCATCACATAATTTGCAACAGCAAAGTGTTCCCAAACATCCATGCGTACAAACAAATACTGTATGTAAGAAAAGATGGCACAGTAAATGTTACTCAGAATATTTCTGAAAGATTAATATTTCTTGTTAGTATTTCTACTTCGGCAGGGTTTAAAAAGGAATAGGTCTTTTTCAGGCCAATTGGCATTCTCTTTCAATTTACAGTTCCATTTGCCTGACATAACGGAAAGATCTGTATGCAGTTCCAAGAGCTTTTTCCATTCACCATCTTTAAGGTCAGCAAGTGGACTCTCATAATTATCTCATCCTTCCAGCTGTAAAAATCTACTAATTTAAATTGGTTCCTTCTTTTTTCATTTTTCTGAATCTCTTTATGTATATGTACCCAACAGACACAAATCAGTTACTTCAAAGTGCTAAGAAATTAGGTCAAATATTTGGCAGGCTTAATTTTTCACCCTTCAAGAAAATCTATGAGACCATATCACTGACAAGACAATTTTAATAAACAAAACTGCTTCCCTTCTGGGTTTTTTTGCCATTTATATTCCTATTCTTTCTGTGTGAGTCTTGTTATGTTGGGCTCAAGATGAATGCAGAAGAACATTACTTCTATTTTGTGTAATTAATTACTGGTACTTTTTGTATCATGCTGTTTTAAAACCATATTGTTTCTCATTTCACAGACACAAGTTCCTGATCCTCTGTATTTGTCATTCTGTGTTTCAAGCAATGCTGTAGGCTAACGTGACTGCTGGTGCTGAGTGTCCTATTTTATATTTTCCTACACCTTGAAAATGGAAAACATTGTTTAATATTAATGCTGCATAGCCCCCTTTAATTAGTTTTTCCAGAAGTTCAAATTAAATCTGTGACAGCTTGGACTTATCTTTGGTCCACCTAGAGACGTTGAAATGCAATTAGTAGAGGTTTAGATTCCAAAGAAATTTCCATGTCCATAATCTGAGGACCCAGACTATATTTTTTCCTATTTCCCTCAAGTATAGAGAATAGTTTCTTCATGGCTGTGGCTTCTCTCTAAAGTCTTACTAGAACCTACAGACTCTTTATTGTCCTGAACCTTTCTTTTTACATGTAAACACAAAACAAACTTCAGACAACAGTAAAAACAACAGAACAATCTAACTGCCTTCTATGGAAATTTTACAACTTCAGAAACAGAATTCTACGAGAGCACAAAAGTGATTTTTAATGCAGATGCTTAATTAAAATGAAGACTTAGAAGTAGGAATTTAGTTTTGGAGTAAATACACAGTAGTTATGATGAATAGCTTAGTGAAAGCTGTGCATTCAATCCTTGTATTCTTCCTAAAATAGGGTTGTTTTCAAGATTTATACAGAAAGTGAATTTTGGAGAAACTAATCTTCATAACCATCCTCAGTGGAGCTATAATATCTAAAAGAGAAACAGAAGACCTGTAAACTTGTCTCAGCAGCAGACTTAAGACAGATGAATATCCATTAGACATAATGTCTTGCTAACATTCTGTGAGTGATGTCAGATACTGCATTATTTTATCTGGAGCAGATGATCTGGCTAGCAGGGTATGAACTCAAGAAATACTAGATACGGAGTACAACAGTCTTTTTGCAGTGTTTTTGTTATAAAGCTACAGTATGCCTTGTATTTATCCACAGTTAACAACATAAGAAACACAACAGGTGTAAATTTAAGGGCTGTAACAATCCCAGAAAGACATCAGTGGTAGATTATCTTGTGGTTTTTACAAAGACATGAATTCCAACTCTTTGAAGAATGTTTAAGTCATTTGCTTTGGCTTCATTATTGAATAATAATCACGAATCTGTCTAACTACCTTATATGCTTAAAAAGACCAGAGCATTTCTGCTTGAAAAAGATCTGTGTATGAAAGGACTCTGTCTTACACATAACCTTGAGGAAAAGTGAGATTGTTTTTTATCTCCGACATCCAGTAATTTACAGTCATTGTGATGTGTTTGTTTGTATATAGGCTGCACATGTGTTGTTAATTCTGACAGATTTGTATTAAATTATTAATGAGGGATAATTTGCATGCTGTTTGAGTCTGATTCTTGTGAGCAGTAATTACAACAGTGATGTAAAATGCAGTGCTGTGGAACGCTGTGGTATAATAGGAAAGACAATTTTAAAGACGGATACAATGTGTCTGAATACCTGGTGTTATTTGTGCAAAAGTCATGTTGCATTTCACTTAGATAAAAATTACTTTGTTTTACTTGGTAGGCACAGTTGGGCTTTCCAGGCCGTTAGGTGTCAATGGAAAATTTGAACATTCACTATTCAGCTTTTGGGGATGTCCTGCAAATCAAGGGAACTGCCATGTCTTTGTGTGCATATTGTTCTTTACTGCTGTAGAACCGCCTGGTTGATGCAAAACTTACACAATTCCCCATTGTTATTTTTGCAGTACATTTATGTATGGCAATGCAAGAGCAACACAAGTTCCTATGTCAAAGTATGGATGGACATGCATTAATTTCCTTCTCTTTCCCAGGGGCTGATTGCTCAGCCCATTAAACTACCATTGAGGAGTGTCCCCACCAACCAAGAAATACACAAATGTTTCCTTCACCACCTTGTAAATGTTCCACTTTAATATCTGACTCTTGCTGTGTTGGAGGGCTAGGCACCAACATATTTTGATAGATAAACCTTGGATAGGAAATCATGACCTTCTGCAAAGGAAAAAAACAAACGTTATTGCTGCTTGTTAAAGATTTTTAGAAGGAGTGGGCTTAAAGCTATTCATGGTCACACCAGTACAATTTCAACCATATAATATCCAGCCATGTCTCATGTTGAAGTCTGGAGTGCAGGGAGAATTGTGACTTGCAGCTATACATGTCATTGAGATTGCTCTTATTTCATTTTTGATAAAATAGGTAATATAGTAGCATTTTACTTGGAAATGGTACTCAAAGCACCTCAGATTTCTAAAGCAGAGAAAATGTAATACATTCATCCATGTCTTCTGTCCTGCTCTTTAAGGTAGGATCCAAGTTTTCATGTTTTTAGCAATTTTCTGATGTAAGATGAATGAATGCTCTTTATAAAAAGTTAATATACAACAGCGAATTTCTTACAGACAGACTTTTGAACAAAAACATGTATTTTTCCAGTGCCTTGCAAAAAAAGAGTAATATTCCCTTTTAGTTTAAAAAAAATACATTTTGCAGGTCCAGTGAAAGTGTATCCACATTTTGCTTAGGTTTCTCTAATGAGACAGAAAAAAAAAGCTTTCTTGTAATTCACCAGGGTATAATAAATTCTTTGTTGTCTAGTGAATGTTGCACTTGAGGAAAAAGAAAAACACACAAATTGTAGGTTCTATCAGAATGCAGAAAAGATTCTGAGTGGCACCTTAGTGGAGCGTTGACAAGGAAGAAAAATCATTTAGGACTTCCACAGGTGCTCTGTTACACTTAATAGCTATGTTACATGACATGTTATCCAGAGGCTGAATTGAACAGAAAACATTAGTATTAGAAAGTTTCAACCTCTGTAGAACACTGGGACACAGTTTGTTGTAGGAAAGTACACCGACTACAGGGCTCACATCCAGGTACAAGTCAACATAACAGTCTTCATTCTGAAGCACTCATGAGCAGAATTCAAACAGCTCAATTTAGAATCCCCTCTGTTGTGCTCCAGAAGGAGAACCAGGTGAGCCAGATTGATTTCAAAGCCTGACCTGTTTCTTTTTATATTTCCACCACTCCCTCCCACCCCAGGAGTGTATTCTGAATACCGTTTAAACTTTGCAAAATTTGCTTTAATGTAATTAGTACTTACTGTATACACATACCGTACACTGCATGTTCATACTAGTGTAGTTTATGCCAATAATTTATTGCAAAATTTTATTCTTGCTAAATATGTCATAAAGCTTTGTGTCCTTTTTTACATATACATTATTTTGGTAGTCAACTTAGACTATTTTGGTAGTCAACTTACATAAAAAATTGTATAATCCCAAAACACGTTTTGCAATAACAGTAGAATTGTTTTCTTTTAATATCCTTAATGGAGCATGCAGTACCTACAGTATGTTTTCTTTAAAGGTAAATCTGAATCTATGGTGAGTGCATCCTTTTATTTTTTAAAACGTCATGGCTTTCTTTACTTTTAGTGAGAAGATAAGTTACTGAATGCAAGCAGCATGTGATGTTAACTTGGCTGGGATTCTGTTTTAATGGCACAGGAAATGATTCACTTAGGCACTGTATATGTGCTTTTACAGTAATTATATAGAATTTCCCACAGGAAGTATGTTAGTTAACAAATGCATACATCCATATGTCAAGAAGTAAAACTGTCACATTTTGTAACTGTGTTTTAAGAGTTCGGTTAATGATATACATATGACTATGGCAAATTGTGGGTCTCTCACTCTTGCTTCTGCAAGATAAGAGTTGTTTTGCATGGATCTTTTCAAAAGTACTTCAGTCATAAATGGAACTGATGTTGGTAGTTCATGCTATTTGGAATTGAAGATGGATCAAGATGCATGAATATCTCATAGTCACTTGGAAAAGCTGTGAAGTAATGACCATCCATCCATTATCTGTAAGATGCTTATTCTGATGTGTAAGTTTTGCAGCAGGATGTATCCTATTCTTGAAGGTCACAACACAGGACTAAGGGCACAGCTCATAATGATATATAATATTAGAATTTCACCTTGATCATAGTTTCTTGAATTCTTTTTAGATTTTGGCACATTGAATTCATCAGCTGGAAAGAACATTATTGACAACAAAATTTTCTTTGCGAAAACTGCACGCTTTACTTTTCTAGGCTTTGGATTGGTTTAGTGTACTTAT